AAACCTACCTTTTTTTTTTGTAGGGTCCCTATAAATTCGATATTAAGGTCTATAATAAGGACCTACAAAAAGTAGGTTATTTTTTTTGTAGGGTCCCTATACATTCTATATTAAGGTTTATAATAAGGACCTACAAAACGTAGGTTATGGTAGTTGAAGTCATAGCTTTAATTCTAAGTGCAGTTGGGCGCCGCCTTTTGGTCTGCAGGATGCTCACCCCAGGGGTGGTCTAGGGTTTAGGGTTTAGGGTTTAGGGTTTGGGATTGAAGGCTTTGGGCCTTGGGGGTTTGGCGTACGGTGCGTCAGATTCTTATCTGCAACCCCTACTTACTTAGCTCGCCAACCCGAATCTAAAAAAAGGGTCCCCAAAACCCTAAACCTTAAACCCTAAACCCTAAATAACCTTAAACCCAAAACCCTAAACCTTAAACCCTAAACCCTAAACCTTAAACCCTAAACCCTAAACCTTAAACCCTAAACCCTAAACCCTGAACCCCCCAAGGCCATTGCCGGGACCTGATAACGTGCACACCGACACCCTGATTCTCCATATAGGGGCCTCAACAAATAGAATCGGGTTTTGGGGCCCATTATGCTATAACAATAAGGAACCCGCAAAACCCTATTCTAATTATTGAGGCCCCTACCTTAACCTTCTGCACCGCAGGATCGGGAGGAAGAGCTTGGGGGTTTCGATGCACCTTCGCAACCCCTAGACCAAAGCGCCGAAGTGTATTAGTGCAGAGGATTTTGGCTTTGGGTTTATGGGAGTTAGGATTTAGGGAACCCTAGGGGAGATAGACCCGCTCAATGAGGTCCCTTTTTAAGAGAGCCAGAAGCAGGTTTAAGAACGGTCCCCTTCAAAGGCTCTCCCTCATACGTGCCCAGGAATAAAGATCCCTAAACCCTAAACCCTAAAATCCCTAAACCCTAAAACTCTAAGCCCTAAAATCCCTAAACCCCCTAAACCCTAAACCCTAAACCCTAAGTCCCTAAACCCTAAACCCTAACCCCTAAACCCTAAACCCTAAGGACTTCCAGGTTGAGACCTAGCCAGGGCAGGGCACACCACTCCAGCCACGCCGAGTGCACCGCCACAGTGACGCTGGCAATAATCTTCTCCCGTGAGCCAAACCTCAAGAAAGGGTTTAGGGTTTAGGGTTTAGGGTTTAGGGATATGGGGACCGAAATAATTACCAATACTATTTTGGGGTGGTTCCCTATCATAATTGTAGTATACTGGCCCCCGGAAACCCTATTCTAACTAGCAAGGGCCCTCTTTCTCAGGACTTCTGGGCTTGAGGCTAAATTTAGGACTTCAGGTCTATAGGGCTTCAGGGTTAGTTTTTTTTTGGGGGGGGGTTGCTATCCGTCTCCAGAAGTGGGTGTGGTTTTAGGAGATGTTTAAGTCTAGGGCGATGTCGGGATATAGGGATCAGGCTTCAGAGATTCTGCGCAGGGAGGGGGTGTGTGAGTGCTGGGAACCAAACCGCACCTTAGCACATACCTCAAACTACCATAACCTACGGATTTGCAGGTTCTTATTCCAAGCCCGAATTCTAGTATGGTGTCCTACAAACAAGTCGGTTTTGGTAGTTTGAGGTAGCACTGTTTATACCCAGAAAGGGTTTGAGAAGGCAGCATGATGCTGTCTTTGAAGCACATCTGGATTTGGAAGCTTGTTTTCTACAGACTTCATCGGATTGATTCTCTATCCCTCATGCAATTTGCCCTCATGCGCTTAGACCGAAAACTACTTGTAATTTGCGGAGGGGTTTGATCAGCATCGCAGCTTCCACTTGGAACCTGCAGCGTGCTCCGTACAAGACAGATTCAAGCCAATCTTCGGGTCTGCACCCCAAAACCCTAAACCCAGAGTGTCGTCTGACTACCCTAAACCCTAAACCCTAAAATATGTCTTACTAATGCAGGTTTGGTCTTGAGCAACACGGCAAAGAATTCATTCTGCCGCTTCGCGCCCGCATGCAGTCCTGTTTCCAGATGTCCTTTTTGCAAGATTGCAAGTTCATCGTCATGCCGCCCTGGACCCAAGAAGCCCTGGACACAAGAAGCCGAAACCCAATGCCCTAGAACCTGAAACCTTAAAACCAACACTGCCGAACACCTATTTTCGCTATCATCCCACAGCCATTTGCCAACCCAAAGATTCTGCCTCAGTGTTCAATGATTCGTAAAGAACCGACAGCAATGCCGAGGTGTGTTGATCGCAAGCCCTGAATCCTGAACCCTAAACTAAACCCTGAAGACCAACCCCCAAACCCGAAACTAAACTCTCAAGAAAGAAATACATGGAAGTTGCGTATCGTTGTTCACATTGAAACCCTAAACCCATCAAAAAGGGAACCCGCTCCTCAAGCCGAGCCCAGCCCCCAACCCAGCCCAACCTAACACACACCGAAACCAAAGTGCCAAAGAGAAACGGTTCGCTCAAAACTCGGCCAAAACTTATCATTCGATCTAAACCGTAAACCCTACACCCCTAAACTCCTAAATCCTAGACCCCTAAACCCCTAAAACCTGGACCCCTAAACCCCTAAAACCTAGACCCTCACAAAGCCCGAGCAAGTGCCGGCCAGGTGGCGTCCCCTTCTTCCCATACCTCTCGCCCATCTGATTTTGTCTCAGCTGGGAAAATGCCTGTCCAAAGGTCGGATCTTGTTTAGGTTCAAGGATTCTAGGATTTAGGGTTGAGAGCTTTAGGGTTTAGGGGTTCGGGGCTCTAGAATTTAGGGTGTAGGGTTGAGGGTTTCAGGGTTTATGGTTTTAGGGTCTACGTACCGCACAATAGGAGGGAAGCTGAATACAAGTATATGGAGCTCCTAGTGGCTCTCCGGAACCCTGGAACCCAAAAGCCCAAAAGGATGTGCGACAATATTGGATATCATGTTACCCCAGAGCCCCAGTTTTCAAGGTTCGGGACCACGGTCGAGAAACCCTAGACTACTCCACGACTTTGGGCCACTGCCTGCGTCCTTCGGGCCCTGGGGTAATGCTTGAAGGATCAGGGAACTTAGCCACGATAAGTGAGGGAACTATACTAATCAGCTACGAATATGTGCGTCTAGCGGCATTTCACATACGTATAGCCTTGCTTGCCAAGTGGCACGATGATCCGAATAGCCTACAACTGTGAGTCCAAGTCGGTCCATGGGTTATGTAGTCTTCTACACAACAAAAGCCTGCTTCTAAACTCGAGTCTAGGGTTCAGGGCCAGGCTAAATAGTTCGAAATGGTTTTGGTGTGTGTTCAACTATAGTCTTCATAGGGAGCCCTAAGGAATCATATGGAGCCCTAGGGAATACGACCATAAGCCCTACACGTACTAGTTGGTGACACGTAGAAAACCCCAAACCCTAAACCCTAAACCCTAATCCCTAAACCCTAAAGGAATACGACCATACACCCTAGACATATTAATTGGTGACACGTAGAAAACCCCAAGAAGTAAGCCAGTTCTAACCCTTGAAAGTCACACGGCGCCTTATGCTCGTGTGACCGAGTTTTCTAGTCTTCCCCGACCTCCATACTCGGCTTCAGGGCTCCCAAAGCTCATAGGGACTTCGGGTTTAGGGTTTAGGGTTTAGGGTTTAGGGTTTAGGGTTACAAATTTAAAAAGCCTCAGCCTTGGCCTTCACCCTAAACCCAAAGCCCTCTAGAGAATTCCCCCCTCAGCACTGGCCTAAGCACCCTTGAAACCCCAAGTCCTTTATCCGAAACCTCCTTAGCAAGGCTCCTATAAAGGCCTTCAGGGGCCATTCTACTATACTTATGATAAGGAACCCCCAAAATAGCATTGCCCCTACATTCATAACCCTAAAGCCTAAACCCAAAGCCCATAAACCCTAAACCCCTAAACCCCTAAGCCCTTTAAACCCCAAACCCTGAGGCCTCTTCGCGCTCCACGGAGCAGCGAATGGTCTTGATCTGGGCGACCTCCGACGATGCACATGTTTTGTTAAGAGAGTCCTACGATATGGGGGTTTCAGAAAATAGGGGACCCTAATATAGTACCCGAAATAGTAGGATCCCTATTATAAGGACCCCAAAACAACGTACCCCTGATTCTCGGAAACTCCCATATTGGAAGGATCTACAGGGTCCTCGTTGAGGCTCAAAAGGGTTTAGGGCTTAGTAATTTTAGGAGCTTAGGGGTCGCATTGTAGGATTCAAGGGCTCTGCAAAATAGGGCTCGGGGTGTTGCGGTCCCACGAGCCTTCTTCTGCAAGCCGGTTCATACGAACAAGCTGCAAACACGGTTTAGGGTTTAGGGTTTAGGACACCCCACCTCCAAACCGAAAGGACAGCACCTCGATTTAATTCCAGGGGCAAGCACCTCTGACAGAGTAAACAGAAACATAAACTCTCAAATAAGGTTTTCGGGTCGACTAGGCGTCGAAAGTTTACGGCTTGTAGTCGTGCCACGGAGGTCTAACTGGTACAGGGTTCCTCTTTGTGTTGCTATAAGGAGTCTATGTAATATATGGGCCTTGCGATTTGAATGGGATTTGGTGGTCCATTGACATATTATAGCTTTTAGATTCGGGGCTAGAAGGGATTACTATTCGTAAGTTCTCCGATTTCAATATTGCACCGCAATCTCTTCTAAAGGCTCGGGTTTGGGATCAGGGGCTTAGGGTTGGGCATTAGAGTTGAGGGTTTAGGATGCTAGGTTTGGGGTACCCTAAACCCTAAACCCAAAGCCATAAACTAAATCCCTACAAGGCAGAGTCGAAATCCGAGCTAGAAGCTCTAAACCAGGAGTACACCGGGAAACATCCGCAAGTATGTGTACTCTGATAGGTGTTGTCTTAATCAGCACCCAATGTTCTATACCGAAACCTCTACCATGCTTAGTTACTAAGTGCTGAAGCCCCTAAGTACCTTCCAACCACGAAGCCCGAGCCTTGTTCGCATTGGCTGCAGAACTTTTGGATACCTCAGAACAAGGGTGGGCGAGGCTGGCAATGGTCCAGGCTCTAGAGCCAATTAAAGGCTGAATTAAGGTTTTAGGGTTTAGGATTCAGCGTTAAGGGCTGAGTTAGTGTGCAAGGCATCGAATCTATAGCAGGTGTTACGGCTAAGGCTCAGCCCTCTGTCAGCGCACGACAGGATTGACCCCTTGACAGGTTCGGTCTCAGGAACGAGCGCAATCCCAGGACCCCAACACCAGCAGCACTGACAGCAAACTCTAACCCCTCAACACCCCTTTAAAGGAACCCTTAAAGGAACCACTAAACACCCTTTAAACGAACCCTTAAAGGAACCCCTGGAAAAAATCCTAAAAAAGGAACAACCTAAGGGAACCCGTAAGGTAACCTATTAAAGCCCAAACCCCCCTCCCCAAAGAGACCACGGCGTACTATAGAGGACGGAATTTAGAGTTTAGGATTTAGGGGCTTAGGGGGAATACTTACAACTAGTACTCCTTTATAAAAAGCCCGGGTTCAGGGCTTTCGGGCTTTAGGGATTAGCTCGCGATGTACAGTGTGGTTTAAGTTTAGGGTTGAGGGTTTGCAGCTCTGGGGTGTAATATAGCGGCCTGAATAATTATGAATGGGGGCTCCCAAAATAATACTCTCCGGTCAAGGCTTTAGGGATGTTGAGGTGTATGATGAGGTCTGGGCTTTACAGTTTAGTTCCTAGGCTATGGTTTAGGGCCTAGCGTTTAGGGTTTGGGCTTTCGGCATGGACTTGAACCATTATAACCAAAGCTCTGCCTGGAAACTCTCTGCACCTATTGTTGTTCATAGATGTTGGCAGTGGGATTATGATACTCATGTTAATGTCATCAATAACTCTGATGTTGACATTCGCATTATTCGTATTGTTCCTAGTATCAATAACGGTGTTCAAACCGTGGTGAGTTACACAACTATTGAGTTGAGTTAGTTAGGTAGTTAGCTAGTTAGTTAGTTAGCTAGTTAGTTAGTTAGTTGGTTGGTTGGTTGGTTGGTTGGTTGGTTAGATAGTTAGTTTGTTTGTTGAGGTTTTAGAACTAAAGCAACTATCATTTGTTAAGAATAATCGTCGTTTTGTCAATACCATGATTTCTTTTATTAGAACTGCTTGCCAATCGAATTGTCATCATTTGTAATAGTTGAACTGCTCTTCTCACTATGATTATGCTTACATTTATTACTATAATATCAGTATTGTCATTCTTATCGTCCCTTGCCATTCGTATCCGCATTTCGTGTTATTACGAGGATTTGTGGTCAGCTCGAAACCTACATGGGTAGTTCTCTAAATTAGGGTCCCTTCTAGGGTCCTGTTTATAAGGGTGCCGTACTATATTGGGGACCTCAAAAGGACCCTAACTTAGAGAACTACCCACACGCTGAAGAGAGCTTTCTTTGGTCACGGAAAGGCAATGGTTTTCAACCCTAAACCCTAAACCCTAAACCCTAATCCCTAAACCGTGAATGGTTTTCCGTGAATGGTTTTCGGGTTCAGGGTGTTCGGGGTTTTCGAGTCGGGCTTTACGGTTTAGGATTCAGGGTGCTCGGGGTTTAGGACTTCGGATTTAAGTTGTTAGGATTCAGGATTCAGAAAGGTTTTTATAAGGTGAAGGATTTAGGGCTTGAATTTCAGGTTTAGGATTCAGGGTTTAGGGTTGAGGATTTAGGGTTATTTAGGGTCGAAGGCTTGATTAGGTATAGATTTAGCAAGTTGAGATCTCAGCGACTACTTAAAGGATCATGGGACTTAGTAAATACGGTTATAACTAAGGTAACCATACTTAAAACCCCAATTGAAGGACTTACAACCCTACTTACTAAG